GAACGATGTAATGTTGTTTGTACTTAACCGTGTGAGCCTTTTAAAAATACTCCATGCTTTATTCTAGCCTTTAGGCCTGTGAAACCAAACCCCTCCTTGAATTCATCTCAGGCTTACTCTGAGGTAAGCATCTTCTTGTATGAGTGAAGTTGTGCTGCCTTTTGCCATTGATTTGAAAAATAAATACAAGGTCAAAACATTAGCCTAAATGAGCAGATGTTCCCAAGCTATCAGTTCCAGCAGTAGGTTTCTGCATGTTAATTTGTAGACCTTTTATATCACCTGTCTGGTGTTTGTCTGAGAAAAACTTGTATTTGTGGCCATAGTCTAAGATACGTAAATATATATACATGAATATTTTGGGGGTTCTGCAAGATCAAAGATCTGAAGAGCAAACTTGTGCTATATTTGCAAATTTGTCCAGTTCCAGCCTGGAGCCCTGTCAATTGTGTGCTATTGTAACTAAGTAGGTGTGTAGTTGCAAAAAAACCCAAAGGTTCTGTGCTATAGTACTGAAGCATTATGCACTCTATCTCTAAAAATACATTCTGTGGAAAAGCTTTATAATTATTTTTTTTCAGGATATTATAGATGTTGACTCTGATCCAGAAGACTCTTCTTTTTTTCCTTCTTCCAAAGGAAATCAAAGGTCAGTATGTTTGCTTCATGAATACTACCATGAGTGCCTTATTTCTGACTGGCAATCAGCAGAGTCCAGGGATTTGATCCACTACCTGAAAAAACAGATTTTTAAGAAAGTCATAAGAAACACTACTTAGAGAGTATATATAAACTTTTACTTGTTAAAGTGGGTTATCTTTCTGTAACAAAAGAATTAGTCTACTGATTCAGGTAATCTAGATCGAACTTTAGAATTAATATGTTAGTTTGAGAATTTTTATTGTTCTACTTATTTCTATTTATTTATTTATTCTTATTATTGGTGGTCCAACTCTAAGTTGAAGGGAAAGTTATTGGAATTTCTGGTAATTGAGAACATGTTGACGCTGTGGTTTTTTTCTCCTTGTGTGTTTCAAGGTTGTCAACTACATCTTCACTTAGTAAAAGAGGTTCACAAAGCCAAACATCTAGAGGAGTTGATTTTGAGTCAGATGAGGTATGGTATATAGTAGTATTATTTTAGTTTTATTTCATGTAAGTTTCTGTAGCTTACAGCTATTTGAGTAAAGCATTTTAGAGTAAAATTGAATTTACTGGTTTTTTCACTAACAGGTCTAGATTATTGCAACCAACTTTAATTAGACTATATTCATAATTGTCAAAAATAAGGCTAGGAGGGACCTCAGGAAAATAATCCAGTCTTTTTTCCCTTCAGTTCTTAATCAGTGAATTGTCATTGCTGAAATATGTGCCTGCAATTGCCTGGGACATAAAGTAATCATAATCTCCTTTAATGCTTGGCTGTATCCTTTCATTTGTTTATGTATTTTATTCTTGTAAGAAGCAAGATTTTCTTTTTTTGCATCTAAAATGGCCATTTTCTGGGGCACTTTATTGTTTCTTGTCGCAAATTATGTAAACACACTTTTTAAAAAAAATTAAAACACTGTCTTTTCAAGTCTAAGGTGTCTGTTCTTGCAGTACATCTTTGAACTGGTAGGAAATGGTTCCATCAATAATTAAACAAGTAGGACTTTACACACAGCTTTGCACTGAATAGAATACACATTATACTGTCAAGCACTGTGCAGTTTGTTTTCACAGACTGCCATGCATGGTCAGGATGCATTCCTTAACAATGTCAGAGATTGACCACTTCAGAGAAAACGTTACATTATTGTCCCTTCTCCCTATTGTGCTATTTCTTCTTCTGTCTGAAATACAAAACTACGTTTGCCTGAACATGCAAAAAGAAACAGTATTTTTGATTCATGCAAATCTCAGTAAATTATGATGTGTGATATTTATATGGACGTAATTTTATTTGAGTATGTGCTGCTCATAGTAATAACAACTGAAATATAAATTGTTTCTCATTCCAGAGTAGCTGTTCTGATCATATTGACAAAAACTTGGTTTTTATTCTCTGCACATTTGTGACCTGGACATTTAAATCAATAGATAATCTCTTTCATATCAAAACCAACAAAACCACGTCTGTCAGGAAGCATGAAATATTGTGACCAGGCTTTCTAGTTTAACCTAAAGGTGACTTTGCTTTTTATGACTTGGAATGCATGCTAGTCCTAGTAATGCATATCTGTTTGCCAATTGCAGGATGATGCATTCATGAGCCCTGCAACATCAAGAAGAACTAAGTGATTTCTGATTCACTATGCAAGAGAGACTGTGGAAGTTGTTGAAGAAAATGGAGAGCAGTTTGCAAGGCATTCTCTATATGATATTGCTCTGTAAATGGTGGCTTGCATTCAATTTTCACTTCTATGAAATGGTTTGGGTTTTTTTTTTCCAGCGGCACCAAATTTGGTATCATTTCTGTGTTACACTGCTTGATGCATTAGACTAGAGGGTCTAATATTCTGAAGTATTGCCTGAAGCTGCAAGTTCTTTCTAAAACATGAAACTTTGTTTTCTTTCTGGGATGATAATAAAAATAACGGTTATATCTTTTATAGAAAACTCCATCTCTTTGGTTTGAATTTTGCAGATAAGTAAATTTACACTTTGAAAGTATGAATATGGACACAGACTGAGTCAGCACAATGAAACTTCTACTTACTTGCAATTTGCTACGGATACAGTTGAAAACTCTGAAGAGTAGTAGTTGGACACAAAAATACAGTTTTCAGTATTGAAACTGGAAAACATCCTAGTGCTTTCAACTCTACTAGGAGAACTAAACCAAGAATTGCACTGTTATTAGTTATAGTGTGTGGGAATGAATTCTGCCTTGTAATTCAAGAAGTACCAAGCAGGACTATTCTAATGTTACACACACATCCTAGCAAAGATTTTAGTAAAGTATAGATTATTAATAGGAATTGTGTCAAAGATTCTTTGGCCCTTTTTGATGACTTTTTTTTTTTAATTACCTGAGTTCATGATCCATCCATATAACTTTATTTCAAACATTACTTTTAACCTCAGAAATTGCATCATTTCACAGATACCTTTTACAAAAACCAGATGTAGCATACCAAATCCTGACATTCCTGTGCAGCTGCTTCCTTTGCTGTGAGTGGGTTTTGGGGATTGTGGAGCAAGGGTGAAGTTGGGAGGAGCAGGTACCCCAAGCTGCCAAATCTACGACAACCTGTTCTCTAGTAACAACCACCCATAGGTGAGCTGTTTAGACAGCTAATACTGGGGAATGTTTAAATACAAACTAAATCAGAATGATGTGAAACAGAGAAGGGCACACCAGCAACATGGCAGAGTCCTGACACGGGGAGCTTCCACTGGGCTTCTTCCATGACCCTTTGTGGGTATTTCTGGATAGCTTGCACGGTGTGTGGTTGGACCATCTCCTTTGGATCACAAGCTCGGAGGAGGGTGGGCTTGAGCTGAGTGGGAGGAGATTCCCATCCTCCTGCCAGCAGCCAGGCTGAGGAGGTGAGAAGAACTCCTGCTTTCCTGGATGTACCTGGTCTTCAAAGCAAATGGCAGCTCTGGTAACACATGCAAGGGTACTCTGCTAGAAATGAAGAATTAGGTCAAGGAAGGTAAATAGACAAAAGTAAACATTTTTGCTGGAATATGAGTTATAGTACGTGGGAACAGGATCTGATAGATGTGGAACAGTAAGAGCTGGAGTTTTGAGTGTCAGAAGGCAGAATGCCCTTATGCACTGACCAACAGCAATTAAAAGGAGGGGTACTTGGGAGCTGCTGGAGCAGCCCAGCAAGAAGGGAGGCATATGCCACCAACCCCTCTTTTCTTATCCCAAAACCATACTAGAACACTGCCCTGTCCCACTCTCTTCCATTTTCTTGGGCCTTTATGTGAGACTGGGATCTCCTGACCACTTCTGAGTGGGACACATATTTCTTTCTTCTATCTGAATGGCCAGAGGTCACTGCCGAATTATCAGCTCCAGCAGGTTCACTGGAAAGCTTCCTCTGAGACAGGCAAACTGCCAAAAAAGTTCAAATTGAACAGTTCTGTGGAAGAAATAGGCCCTGGCAGCAGTTTGCAGAGGAGCACTGTGGGTTGACCATTCCACCTGTCCTGCTGTGTACGACTCCTGTGATGAAGAGAAAGCAGCCTGGGCTGTTCACTGGGGGAATCACAAACATCCTCTGGAGGTGTTATTTTCACCAATGAGTGACCAGCTTATAATACAAGCTTTTCAGATAATGGTCTAATTAATGATTAAATAAAGTCTCTTATGAACAAAACTTGCTCTGACTGGAGTTAGTGACACCACCCAAGCAGATCTGTCCCCAGCAGCAGGGTAGCACCCTACATATGCACTTGGGAAGTGGCACATCTTTCTATGCTGTGTAGGATTTGTGGCTCTTGGTCTCCTGGTACTGATTTTCTATTTCCTACTATGTTTTGGGAGAAAGGCAGAGGGAACACACATGCTGCCATCTCGTCAGTGCTTGTGTTCAGTGTACAGGTGCCTGTTGCTTTGGATACTGAATTCCCTGGGCTAAGACATCCATTCCTGTCCTCTGTCCCATATAATCACTTCTTTGTAACTACTCTTAGTTACTCTAAGTAGTTACAAACCCTAGAAAACAGTTTCACATCAAACTTTTATTTCCTTGGCCAAGAGGAAATACCAGCCAAGGGAAAACTTCAGTATTTCTCTATCTCTCTGAGGGGAAAAAAGGTCTTTGGAAAAATACAGTAGGTACATTAAGCCAGCTTGTTATTCACAGGTCATCTCTTACCCCCCATTCTATGCTTTTCTATTCTATTCTATTCTATATAAGTGTCATGCTGTGAAATAGGCTGAAAACTTCCTGCCAGACCTTTAAACCCGTTCAGATTTGACCTGTCCTGGAAGATAGCAGAGCTGGCACATACGCAGCTGGTGTATAAACAGCACAGAATTTCCATGAGCTGGGCCGCTGGTAAAGAAGGATTCCGACAGCTGAAGAGATTGATTTTGCCTTTCCCACAGATGTACTTGCCTTGGAGTAGCGCCTGGGGGAGTGCAACTGCATGGAAAAGCAGCACGTCAGAGCAGAAATGTCATGCAGCCCAATGACTGCAGAAGATCGCGGCTCGGAGCTCGCCCGGGGGTATAAAGCTGGCTGAAGGAGCAAAAGTAGAGGCGAGCTGAGCAGGAGAAGCAGGCTGTGGAAGACAGGAGCATCCACCTGCTCCAGCTGCTCGTGTGCCGTGTTTGCAGCCTCCGAGCGCTCGGGCTGAGCGAGGGGAGAGCGGCTCTGCCCTCTTGCAAATGAGCTGTTTCCGAAGCTGTTTCTGAATTGGAGGAGCAGAGCGACGTTTCAGAGATGTTGTCCTGCTTCGTCTGGCTCACCCTTCCCAGCGTGGTTAACGCCTTTGTGATCCCAGGGAAGTTGCCCCTCAGTGGGAGCCTAGAGAAGACTTTTGTAATCCGGAACATCTCGGGTTTCTTTTCCTGGGATAGTGACAGCCTGGCCAACTGGCAGAGCTTTGTGGACAGGAGCCGGTACGGAGCAGAGTCACAGAGCATCACGCTGGAAGCCCTGCTCATTGTGGCGTACTTGCTCATCATCTTCCCTCTTTGGCAACATCCTGGTCTGTCACGTTGTCACCAAGACGAAGCATATGCACTCTGCCACCAGCTTGTTCATTGTCAACCTGGCTGAAGCCGATATCATGATCACCCTCCTCAACACACCTTTAACATTGGTAAGACTGGGGCAGAGTTGCCAAAAAAGCACTTCCGTGGCCTTTTCCTCTTTACAGTGCATTAAAGCAGTGAGTGGATGTTCTGCAGATACCTGTCCACTCCAAATTACAGTCGTTGGAGTTGCCTTTGGAAAACTGCACATGTATTTTTTTTGTCTTAATTCCTGTTATCTAGTTGAAGATCTGAAATTATTGGTTTATTAAAAGTGGCCTTGATAGTACTTGAACAATAGTAACCTTGCAGTGATTACTTAGTACTTTGTACTTTCTCTTCTCTGAAGTATTTCCAAGGTAATAAATACTATGAATCTCTTGGGAAAAAAGTAAAATGCTCACCATCATTTTACAAGCTGTGTTGAAAAGCTGTAGTTTGCATTGAAGTGAAATAGGATGTTCAGGTCAGCCCTACTCTGTAAGGAGGGCTTAAAAGAACTTAAAATGTATTGACTCAATAGTTAGGCTGCAGAAGGATACACTGTGAATAAAACAGAACAAACATCTTTGGTATCATGCTGCTATATTGTCCTGGAGGATATTATCAAGCCACTGAGCAGCACTAACCTGCCTCTTCAGAGTTCAGAAGGCAGAAAATTATACAACTATACAAAGAACCTGCTATCTCAAAAGTGTCTTTTACAGAGCACAAGAAATTATGTAATGGGTGTGTATCTGTAAGCAGTTGTGGGAGTGCACAAAACTAATGATCTTCTGGTTTCAGGCTCGTTTTGTGAACAGTACTTGGATATTTGGGAAGGGGATGTGCCATGTCAGTAGGTTTGTGCAGTACTGCTCCCTCCATGTCTCTGCCTTGACCCTCACAGCCATTGCTGTGGTGAGAGCTCTCTGAAGCCGACGGAAAGCTTGAGAGGGCATAAGTAAACAGAGAAAGGATGATTCCATATCTTTTCCTTCTCAGCTCCCAGGATAGGGGCACAGTTCTTGCTATCAGATGGAGAGAATAGTTTCGAGCCTGCAGCAAGGTGAGAGGTGGGAGGTATCCAGTGCCTTGCGATCGCTTCCAGCGGGGTAAAGGGAGCTTTTATGTGATAGATAATCCAGTAGCTCTCAAACAAGGAGAAAGTTGAAGATCCTGTTAGAAATTCAGATGGACAGCTCTCCTCTGGGGTAGTTTGTCCAGCAGCATGGCTGTAGGGACATCCCAGTTAGCTTTCTCAGCTCCATCTCCTACTGCTCTGGGATGTCTCACCCCTTGTTACTCTGAATACTGGAGAGCTGACTGTAGCACACTGCTGTTTGTCACAAGCAGGGCTGTGGCTTGCTGTTAATAATGGGCTCAAAACTGGGGACAGTTGGGCATTATCAGTTTGGAGTCACCTCACAACTACACAAAACAGTTGACAGTTGGCATTTTCTGCTAGAAAGATTGTTTCCAGAAAATGCACTGACTGTCAGAAGCATTCCCAGGGAGGTCTGGTTAAGTCACAAGCCTTTGGTTCTTTGGGTCACTAGTACTGAAGAGTCTGGGACTTTTTTTCTGCTCCTTTTTTTTTTTTACTATAAAATAAACTGAACCTGGAAATGAACATGTGTCAAGACTTGGTACTGCCGGTACCCAGTTCTTGTCGTCTAGATGCAAATACTGAGAGTTGAGAGTTGGACTGGGATCTCACTTGACCCATATTCATGCAGGAAAAATTCAAGTTTTTATGTACAGTTTATATGCTGAATTTCCACATTAAGTAATAGTTTAAAGGCTGGAAGATTGTATGAAAAAAAAAATTATTTTTTCCTGAAGTGTAATAAGCCTGAATTTTGGTTTTATTTTGCACAGGTTATAATGCACCCACTGAAACCTCACATATCTACTGGAAAAGGTGTTATCTACATCTCTGTAATCTGGATCATGGCAGCTTGTTTTTCCTTACCACATGCTATCTACCAAAAGCTCTTTACCTTTGAATATGGGTAAGGATGTGCTTTGCTTTCCTCCAAACTCTCCCTGGAGGCCAAACTCTCAGGGATCTTCTATTGAAAGCCTTTGAGCATATGTCAAGGTCAGCCAAATATGGATCTAGTCTATAATTTTCATCTGGTTCTTTTTGCTGTGTCTGATATCCTGCCCTTTCCATTTTTAATTATTTTATCTTTTAGCCTGTTTCATGTGATTAGTGTGACAGAATAAAGTTAAAGGGTCTGGCCTGGACCCATTACCATTATGCATTGGCATTTTACACCATATATCAATCTGACTTATTTGGGCAGACCAGACACGGGAATAAAAAAAAAAACTAAAACTCAACAGGTTTTAATCTACTCTTTAGCCCTGGGAAAGTAGAAAAATCTGCCTCAGCTGCTTGTTCCATAAAATGCTGTCAAGAGCTTTAATATTTGGAAAGTATTTTAATGAGGGAAAGGTCCCTAATATGTGCAGAGACTGTGTTGCTGTTTGCCAAAGAACAGAAAATAAAAACCTGCTTATGTGCAGCTCGAAATTTTGTAATTGATGAAATTCATGATATTATTTTAAGGTCATGAATGCCTGTGAGAAATTACCACCACATTGCTCACTGGCTGCTCTATGGCTCAGATCCTTGGACAGCAGAGCTCTGCTGAGCTCTGACAGATATCACAGATAAACAAAGGATTTGCTTCCAGGCTTTATGGCAGGAGCCCTTTCCCACTTGCCTCCTTGTTTCTGATGTACTTCTCCCGTCGTGCCCAGCCATATGTCCTCTCATCCCCTGTCCCATATCTCCATTTGCAGTGAGGAAGTTACCCAGTGCCTGCGCCTGCCAGATTTCCCTGAGCCTGCTGACCTCTTTTGGAAGTACCTTGACTTAACAGCCTTCATTTTTGTCTATGTCCTGCCCCTTCTGATCATCTCTGCTGCCTACATGACAGTGGCAAAGAAACTCTGGCTGCGCAATGTCTTCGGGGATGTCACCACTAAACAATATTTTGTCCTCTGCAAAAAGAATAAGAAGACCATCAAGATGCTGATGCTTGTTGTCATCGTCTTTGCAGTTTGCTGGTTTCCCTTGAATTGCTATGTCGTCCTCCTCTCCAGCCAGACCATCCACACCAACAATGCCCTGTACTTTGTCTTCCACTGGTTTGCAATGAGCAGCACCTGCTACAACCCCTTCACCTACTGCTGGCTCAATGACAGCTTCCAATCAGAACTGAAGGCTTTGCTCAGCATGTGCAGAAAACCTCCCAGGCCCACAGAACAGAGGCTTCCCTCCACAGTCCCATCCTACCAACTGGCTTGGCCAGAAAGTGGCAAGTTCAAGAGGTTGCAGGTCTCCCATATCCTTCCAACATCCAGTCAGGAAAGACAGACATCTCTGCAGTGGAGCCAATAGTAGCAGCGAGTTAAACAGTGGCCCTGGGAAATCTGTAAGGGCTGCACATAGATTTGGCAAGAGCTAAAATTGTGGGAAGATGTGGAGCCCTGTCCTACTTAGGGACTGTGCAACCACATGTGATAAAACCAAGAAGGAGGTTAAGGTTCTGCAGGAGGCAGCATGAAAGAGCTGCATGTTTGATGCAGGCTGATGACAAAAGTGTGGAGCCCCTAAATGGGAGAAAGCAAACTCTTCCCAGAAAGGAACTCTCTTTTGTCAAGGTGACTTTGGACTGGCTTGCAGTATGGGACTGTCTGCATGTATGTCACTGTTATCTGCATGACTAAGCCTTTTTACCACCAGGATTGTGTGTGTGTTTTCCTGTTACTTAAACACTAAAGAAACAATCTAATCACATCAGACCTCCCTTCTCTTTTCTAAGTCTCTTCCTAGCAACATGAAAATGAGATGTAGACCTTTAGGATGCTGGCTTAGATCAAGTGCAACTGGTTAGGAAAGTATCCTTTCTGAACCAAGGTCTGAAAAGTCAATATCTGTTCAGAATGAACAAACAGCTGTACTTCACAAGTTCTTTTTTTTTTTTTGGTGGAAATACCCTTAGAGAAGTGGAGGATATGATGGACATTGACAAATAGAGCGGTCTCTTACATCACAGGCACTTTGTCTAAGGTAAATTTGAGGAAAAATGGATGCCTAGTCTTTGCTTAAGTAGATGGCTTTTCTTCTAATAGATAACTAAACCCAAAAAAAGCTACTCTGGAGAAAGCTGGACATACCATCCACAGCTGGAGAATGGATAATTAAATGCTACTGTGAGTTTGGACTAGGACCTTTTGATCAGAACATCTTTGCATTAATGTCAAGTGTCAGCTAAAGGATCCCACAGTTCTACTTCTTTGCTTTTGAATGTTACTCTCTTACCCTGTAAAGCACCTGTATACTTTTCAGTTCAGACATTTGGGACATTTCATCTCAACTAAGATGTTAGCTCTCTGAAACCAGTTTATAAATGAATGGCTTTGAGAGAAGGGATGATATCTCTGATAGCAAGTAATGAAAGTGGAACATTTCTCTGCAAGTTATCCTCTGGTGATTGCACAATTTTGGTGCATTTGAAGATAACTGAGATGTGTCCTTTCTTGGGTGGCTAAGAAAATTCACACGACTGCAACTGTCTGAAGTGGTTTGCAGAACTTAATGTTCTTAGTAGAAGAAAATATGGGTTTGAATAACAAAAAACATGGTGGTCCAAAAACCTCTACCTTATATTGCACAGAAAAGCAATAACTCCCTGTGCTGTGGAAATTAATTTGAACATCACACCAGGGTGCCCCATTCAACTTGCAGCAGTCAGCAATGAAGTGATAAAAATCTTCTTTTATAAATGGGAAAAAAAAAGAGAGAAAATGTTTTTTCCCTAATTCCTGTAATAACGTTACATTTCTGAAATAATTTTAAGTCTTGTGGAGGACTTTCACACCTGCATATTTAAAGACACTGAAACAGCAACCACTCCTTGCACCTAACCAGTCTTTTCACAAGGTGTTATCAATCTCTCACTCTGAATCCAGTGCTATTTTACTGCCCTTTATCAAGGCCCCCAGAGTTCAGAGTACTTTGTATCACTGATCTGCAGAATCAAACCTTTCCTCCTGCCTTCTTTGAACCCTTATGCCAAATCCCATTTCCTCCCTTAGCATTTGCAACGCATCAGCCCTGAACTGGTCAGGGAGTTAGACTAGATGGTCATTGTAGGTCCCTTCCAACTGAACTATCCTATTCTATTCTATTTCCCAAATGTGCACAGCCCACAAACAATGCTCCCCATTCCAGTGATAGCAGATCCCAGCTCTTTACTAGCAAATAAATGTTTAGGAGTGCTAAATACCTCAGTAAGATGTTCTTTCTGAAGCCGAAGAAAACACCTTAAGACTCATCATTTTTGAATGCAGTTATCACCATTCGAACTGCTACACATGCAAGAACCTTGCTGTAACTCCAGTAGGCAAAATCCTCAGATGCCCACTCAAATGGTCTAGGTGGGTCTGAGCAGGGCTACTGCAGTTACAGCTCTGGATCCTGCACCACTGTACCTGGTGGCAAATCCTTCTCCTCCAGCCTCTGCTCACAGCTTTAAAATAGCTGTTTCCCAAGAGACTGAGAATAACTATTATTCACATTTGACTTATTCATAAATCTCTTGAGTGCTGGTGAGAGAGACCATAGCCAGCTCTGCTGCTGACACAGTCTGCCAGCCTTGCACTGAAGCCATGGGGCTGTGAACAGCCTGCCCCTCTGAAGGTACCTACGTAATCTCGCAGCTCTCAAAGGCTTGCCTGAGAGAGAGGTCATATCTTCCCATAGCCTCTGGGTCTGGTACATTAGGACTGGATAGCTTGTTCTCTTATTTCCTGATCTTTGTGCCACCAAAGGGGGATGAGGATGGGATCCTCCCCTGCTCTCCCCATTCTGCACAGCCCAGCAGAAGGGCAGCCCCTGCTCCTTTCTGGGGGTGACACAGTGGCCTGGGGAGAAGGTTTGAACTGGCATTAATGGCACAGAAAGAGGAAAATTCTACAGCCCATTCTTTCTTCTTCTGGGAACCATGTCCCCCCTCAGCCTGTCCTCTGGTTTGCAGGATTGAAGGGATTTCTGTGAGTCCTGGTGCCGTGAAACCTCCCACCCCTTGCCTTAGGCTCAAAGCCTTTTAATGGTACTTAGGCAGGCATCATTACCTCTCTGACCAGGAGAAAAACTGCCTTTATCTACAAAACAAATCAGCACCTCCTGGCCAACTGCCCATAGTTTATAAACTGGGCATGGCATTCTATTGTATGGAATATCCCTTTGGCTAGTTCGGGTCAGCTGTCCCAGCCATGCTTCCTTCAGCTTCTTGTGTACCTTCTGCAGAGCATGGGAAACTGAAAAGTCCTTGTCTTAGGGTAAGCACTGCTCAGCAACAACCAAAACATCAGTGGGTTATCAACATTATTCTCATACTGAGTCCAAAACTGTGCCAGCTACTAAGAAAAAAGTAACTGTATCCCAGACAAAACCAGGACACCAATTAAATAACTAAAGGCCTACAAATGATTTCTAGCTCTAAGGTGTCAACTCACTCATTTCCATAGCATGTAGGGCTAGCTCCATCTACAGCAGACCAGGTATGACTCCAAGCCCCTAAGGTCACAGGGATATGGGGATTTTAAGACATTATATTTTTTGTATGCTTTTTCAGTTAAAACCACCATAATGTGACAGGTTGGTTAGATGTCATCAGTTTTTAATAGTATGAAGCTAAAGATGTATCAGATGTCCTAAAAGCATGTCATCAGAGTCTCTGAAGGTACAAAACTTAGTGGGGTTTCTTGGCAGGACATGTGGTAGGAACCAGCTTGTTATGGTCACATCCCTACTGCCTCCTGGGAGCTGCTCTAGAAGTGAACTGTTCCCAGTGCCTTGCCCAGAATTTGTTTTGAAGAAGCCCAAGACAGGGCTCAGGAATGATCTGACACTTGAACAATGTGGACAGCAGACACTAAACCCTTCAGTTGGGTCCCTGGTATTTCTGTTTGGCACTGCAAAAACATTCCTAGACGTCAAACAGACAAGCAGCTTGAGGCTCTGTTTCTCATCCTGCAGTTCAGACTCCCAGCACGGATGTGCTGTTATGAACTATGCAACAGAATGTATTTCTATCATCCCAATTTAGCACAAATAAGAAGGAAAAAGCAAACAAAACCACAATTCTTTTGTTGCTGGTTGAGAATTTTCATTTCTGCTAGTTTAGGTTCATAAGTTTGTAAGTGTGCAAGAGCTAAAGCATTTCAAAATGTAGCACAGACAGAGTGAGCCCAAGCTATTTTCATCCCTGGACTGGTTACTCATTCAAATGCTTTCAAAGGCACCTACCACTTTCCCTGGATTTTGTGGGGAAGCAAGAATGTGACTTAAGAGGACTAATTCAGCAGGTCCCTGAGTTGGATGGGAGTTCATTTGTAGGCAAGCAATTTCATTTGCATGAAGGTGTTTGATTAATCTCGATGGTTATAGAAAGTTTGAGGTGACATCAAAAAATTTGAATAAGCAAAAGAGAGGATGTCAACTTTACCATCTAAAAAGATTAAATAGTGTTATAATGGGAGTTCTGTGTCACAGTCCTTCAGGGGAGAGTTGATAACATGAAAATGTTTTGAAGCAAATAAATATTTGAATACTTAATGATATAAAGCCATAATAGATTTACTAATTTTATTCCATTGTCACTTCAGAAATGTATTTTTCAGTGTTTAATAAAAGTAACTACTTTTTATCATTATACTAGTAATTTAGTATATTAACTCAAATATTCCATTATGAGGAAAACGCTCTTCCAGAGCTTCCAGCCATGCAGCCTGCAGGACAGAAAACCACAAATTATCCCTAACATACACCTAGATTTTGATTTGTGCCACTCTTATGTGGTCTGTGCAAAGTGGTGCTCAAAGAAAAGATTTCTGAAAAAGTTTACTCCAGCGACACAGCTCTGATTCTTTCCCCCTTCTGTGACAAACTCATCTCTTTTTTACTGAACTATCCCACTGACATGGCCACTGGGACACAATCTGTTATTTGTCTTTCAGCAGTATTTTATTCATCCAGCAGCTCCACTTTTTTCTGTGAATCAGGGATTATTTTGCAAACACGGGTGTGCAGGAAGCCAGCGTGCCAGGCTGTGTGCAGTGCTGCTCCATGAGCTGTTGGATGCAATATGGTCATGTTGCAAAAGGGTGATAAAGGACAGAGCAGTCAGAGACTAGTGATCCAGCTCAGTCCCCCATGTTCATATGACACAGCCTTCCTGTATTCCCCCATACACCTCTATGCTCCTACAGGATCTCCCAGCTCATGGGCAAGGTGGTGGGGCTGAGCTGCCTCACTCTGGGCTTTACAGATGTCCCTTCCAGAGCAGGTGGCTGTACATGGCTTCAGTGACATTGTCCCTTCAGGCAATCTAAAAATCCAACCAGTATTCAGCATCGCAAAACCAGCTTACATTTCTTAATGGGAACTCATTGAAGAAGAATAATGAATTATGAGCTTCTTGTGGGCTGTGCACACTGTGGAGGAAGTTCAGCTAATTAGTCCATAGGGCACAATAATTTATTTTGATTATTCATATCAGCAACATGACATTCATTATTGAAAAATAAAGTTTTACCCAAGTGGCTTTCTTCTTCCAAAGCTTTAACTCAGATAGACAGAAGCCACCATAGACAGCAGACAGTGGTGGTGGTGGAGGTGGGGATTAAATCCTTCCTAGCACCTCCATCTTCAAAAAACCACTCATGACCTGATTTCTGTCTTCCTGTTCACAAAGTGCAGCCAGGACATCCTTTGTTCATAGGCTCTTTTAATGCTCATTTAATGGGGCTCTAGGCTTGGGAACTGAACTAGTCATCAAAACTCCTACTAAAACAACACCCACTGTTCCCAGTAAGTAAAAAAAAAAAAAGGCCTAAAATATACTCTTTATTCTAAAAGTGACTGGCAACATCCACAGGAGGAAAAACAGCGGGATACAGCTGCTTTTAGAGGCACACCATCTGCTAATGAAATAAACACTTTTACTGCCTCTATGCATTTTAAATCACAAGTTTTAAATCTCACAAGGAAGCTAAGAGCCATTATAAGGCAAAGAGCATGCAGAGGCACTAGTTGCAACTCTCTTGCATTTGGAGGACTATTAATATCCAAGTCATGGAGAGATAAGGGTCAAAAAAGGATGGCATGGACCAAAGCTGAATCTTAACATTGCCATTTTACTTTCTGGTATATTTACAACAGGACAGGTGCATGTAGCTATTTCTAGAAAAAGTGTAGTGACAAAGAGGCTGAAGATGGACTCTTTTCCTTAAGACCTAGATTGGAATTAAGCCCAGCTTTTGAAAATGGCAAAACATAGTAGGCATAGGGCCACTAAAATGTAAGTAGAATTGAGCTATGCAGTTCAGAAACACATCTGAAAACAGAAAGATACAGCTGAAAAGTGCAATGCTGAAACTGTGGCCAATTATTAGACAGTAACTCACACAATGGGTAGTCTATTTATCATGTGCTGACATTTTCTCAATAGTTTTTAAAGGTTAAATAGATTTTGAACCCATTCATGTTACTCTGCCAATTTTATGAGAATACAGAATTTTAACTACTGTCCAAATGTTTGCTCAGGTTTTAGCATCAGATCACATGTTTTGTACTACATGTTTTCAGATGGTGACACATGACTGTTCCTGGAACCTTCAGTCACTTATGCTGCTGTAGTTCACAGAACTGATTTATTTAAATAACCAAGGAGAATTTATATGTATTTTATTGAGCACTTTAGGAGACAACGAGATTCACTGCAGCAAGTCATATTTTTAAATACAAAAGGGGAATTAGTAAAAAGTTAAGTACATATCCAACTTGAAACATGAACACATGGCTTTCAGGAGCTTTGAATTTTAAAGACTGAGAACTCTACTTACATCAAACAGTTCAAATACATCCACATCACAAAATCTTATTATTGCACTATAGCTCCTTGTCCAAAACACACAATGCACAACATGCACTTGAATTGCCCATATATGAAGGACCATCAGCAACACATCAGCACAGCCACAAAGAATCTAGAAAAGGTCAGAGGGGTTGTAGGTTTGCTGTCAGAAGTATGGTAAAAAAATTCAGCAGTTTGGACCACCGCTATCCAACACAAGCCCTGTTTCTTGCTGGTAATGCAACAGACATTAGGATTGCAGCTGTGCTGCTCTCCTGTGCAGAGGTAGCATAATACTATGGCTTTAAAGATTTATTTTAAAATAAGGCTTGTCTTAGCTAAAAGCCATATAATAACTGAAAAGTTCTTGTAATGCTAGCCCAAAGTATAGTATGGCAGCACTTTTGGATCCACTTGTTCAACAACAGCTGCTGAATTCAAGTAGGTGCACTCTCTTTGAAAGAGTTTTGTGCAAAAACAGTAACACCAATCACTTCTGCTTTTCCCTCATCCACAGCCACATGCAGAATGCTAGCAGACAAAATCACAACAGTGGATGACACAGAGGAACTGGAACAGGGACATCCTATCTAGCTATAAAAGAAGTCCTACTTCTGGGCAGGTTAAAAAGACAACTTGGAAGAGGTGAAAGGCAAATAATTTCAGTTACATGGATAATACAGAAAAACAAATCAGCATATAACATTTGTGAAACATACACACTTGCTACTGCAGTGCTTCACCCCCCACCCACCTTATCTTGTATCTAAAATTTCAAGCCAAAGGTCATTTTAATACTCATTGAAGGTTGAGGTCCTGGGTCCAAGGGACAACATTAAAGCTGAATACTGCTTTCTCCAAAGAGTCCAATAACAAACCAGGAGAGTTTTCCAGTTTAAAAACACTCCCTCTTGTCTGTTCCAATCCACTTCAGCATCTTATCTTTAATACAGTCACATGGTGTGTGGGGAGAACCACCTTTCATCGTATTTACATCTACCTCACCATGGCTATCAGGTGTTTGGCTCTGCTGTGGCATACAAGTGCTACTGTAATACAAGTCTGTCTTCTCAAGCATGGCTTGGAAAACAGCAAAACTAATATTGCATTTGATACTACAAACACGTCGAAAAAGCTTCCATGCATAAAAACACTACAAAACAACTTCAACAAAGCTTTACAAAAATGGAACCAACTTCACTGATCTTCAGTCCAAAACGCCAAGGCAGATTTGTTAGACACTAAGACCAAAACAACTAAGAGAGAGAAATTAAACTAATGTTTAGCTTACATACCAGTACATTTTGTAAAAAAAGTGTTAAGACATTATTAATTTATTAACGCATGGAAAATTCAAAATCCCTAATGTTTACAGTACTCCCTTATTCTAAGCCTGTTTGTAGTTTCTTTTCCACCAGTGCCACGTACTTAATGCCAGACATGAATGTTGGTATGACTAACCAAGACATCTCAGGCTACAGAGCAACCTCTTATTTTTTCCATGAAGACACAGCCAATATCAGTGGCCAGCCACCACCTGGTACAGATTAACTAGACTCACTAAAAAACCCCATCTCCCTACCCCCTTTTCCAGGGCAGAGAGCCCAAAGTTACCTTACTTAAACCCCAGAACTGAGATGGCCACTCCCAGCAGACCAACACTTCAGGATGCAACGTGGCCATCTCTTTTTGTTACATGCAGGGTTACGTTTGCCATCCCTGTACAGTGTGGTGTGAGCTTTTTCCAGCTGCCAGCTTCGACTGCATTCAGTGCACGTCACTTGTCACTCAGGAGAGAAATCTTTTATTCTTATTTCTCCTTGGGTGTGGTTTGTTTAGGGTCTTTTTTAATAAATAATGAAAGTCTACAACCTGCTTTTTCAGGCATATGACTCCTGAATATATATCAAGTAGTCTGTAAACCAGTTTGGCCTCTGGGGAACTGTCAGGCGATGGAGACGGTCGCATTCAAAGAGCAGCACCTTGTGTTGAGCACAGCAGAGGCAGAGGAGGAGCCTTCCCGCAGAACAGAGCTCCTGCCTCCTGCAGCAGGGAAGCATCAGCATGAAGAATCTGTAAGTCTCTGGCGAAGTCTTTTGTCTTCTCTCGGATTCACATTGCCACTTGCATTACGGTCTGTCAAAACTACAGAGAAAGTAAAACTTTAGAAGTGAATGAGCTATAAAACCACTCAAGATCTTCTTGTGTACAAAGGAACTGCCACCAAGCTCGTCCTGCACTGCTGGCTGTCCAGTGCTGCTTTCAGCTGCCCCTGGCTGTCTCGATGTGGCACCCAGCTGCAGGATGCCCTGTACATCTCTAGCCCAGAGAGCATCTACCACTCTTTTGTTAACACTGTTTTGTTGATTACTAATCAAAACACGCTGATGCCACAGAAGAAAATCTGATGAGCCATGGGTGAAGCCTTGATGATGGGTGGTGAAGCCTGCAGCTGCCCCCAGGCAGAAGAAGGCTGCACTAGCTGGTCATGAAACAGCAGCTTCTTTCTGCAATGCATTTTAACAGAGCTACAACCATGAGTTTGTTCTGTTCTGGACAAAAGTCTTACAAGTTTTTTTTGTGAGATGAAAATAGTCTCAAAAGTTCTGCTTTCAGCTAAAAATGAGTAGGATTTTCTATTAACTTTCTCAGTTCCTTGAGCACAGACCTCCACCTTGGGCTCTTACATTCTCCTACCAAAACCCACCCACCTTTCATAAAGGGACACATTTACAAGAAAAACTATACACTGTCAGAATTACTCCCAACTGCTGTACTAGAGCTGGTTGCCAGAAATGCTTCTTCTGGTTCAAAAATAATTCTGCTTATATAAATTGACTTCTCCTCCAGATCTCAGCCTACCAGATCTCAGCCTACCAGAACTTCTTGACCTAAGTACAGAGAAGCAGTCAGCACCTGAGTACTGCTGCTTCTTTTTTATTAAGTACAGGGCAGACTTTCTCAAGAGAAAATAGATTTTTTTTCCTGCCTTTGAAACAGCTCTTTAATTTGCCCCCAGCATTATGCTCACCTACTCAGGTCAGCCGCCAAACATTTTAAGGTATTATCACTTCAAGGAGTGAAGGACTTTGTAAAACCTTTTGGTTTATGCCTCTCCCTGGATATTTGGCTTCTCTAATTCTGCACTTGAGGATGGAACTGGAATCGCAATTAAGATATGCCACACTTTTTAGGACAGAATCCTAGACTATATCTTATATAGGAGTGATTGCTCAGAGCCTATCGTGTCTGTGAACTGGTGTGATATTCAGAAAATCTTTGCATCAATTCAGATTGACTCTGACCATTTTGGCAAAAATCACTTTACATGCAGTATTCCTTGCTCTCTGTGTAAGACAGAACAGGAGCGTGTTCACTGGTCACAGTCCCACTTCCCTTCTTTTGTCATCTCTTCCTCTGCCAGCAGCATTTCTGAGCATCAGACTTATTTTTACATTCACCTAAGACTTCTGCCAAAGCCTGAATGAGAAGCAGAAGCAGCAGTTACTACACTTCAGAGCTAATTTCTGAAAAAGAAAAAAAAAAAAAAAAAAGTCCTGAAACCACCAACTTTCTTACTGGAGCTTCTTCAAGCACAACCTACTGTAGACCAATCTAGTGCTCTTCTACTGTACAGGGAGTTGTAAGAAGTTCAAGTTCAGACAGCTGAAGCCTCTTGGTGCTCGAGCAGATGTGTTAGCAAGGACCAACAACTTAACAGACACTTCAGGGTCTAGCCTGTGTCACTGACTTGCAACACCACAATCTTCTGGCACAGATGTGAGGTTATAGCAGTTATACTGCAGACAATATAGCAAGGACTAGGTGGGTCCATTGTCTTACAGAATATTTTAAAATGTTTTTGGTAGGAATACTTACCTAGATCAGCTTACCTTGTAGCTCTGTTGCATCTTTTTCCAGCTCTTCTGTAGTTGTTTCCTCAGGCTTCTCCAACTCAGCTGTCCCTGGCTTCCCATCTATGGTATCAGTCTTAATAGTACCAAGGTTTACCAAAAGCTGCATGACATCAAACTTCTCAGAAACTGCAATGTTCTCCAGCACTTTGAGGCATTTAAATGATTTAAGTTCACTCACATTTTCCTCAAGAAAGAGGAGGTAAAGGCTTAAGTCATCAAAACACTTTGACTTAAGTTTCAGAACATCAAAAGTTGGCAGGATTTCATACACTTTGAGAATACCTGAATTCCACCTCCATGGGACAAACATTGCATACACTACCAGTGGCATCACTAGCAGATAGACTATCAGGTTAATATAGCTGAGTACCTTGAAGACACCAACAGCAATAAGCTTGCACTGAACCACTTCTGGAACAGTTGTGTCATTCTTTAAGATCCCAGTTTTGATAGTGCAGAGAAACTCATCACTCAAAGAGGAGAGACTAATGTAGTAGCCCAGGTAGAGGCATGCAATGAAAATAATTACTAGTGTGAGTAAACGGCAGGTAATATATTTAATTATTAAACATCTGGAATTCTTCTTCGTCTTCAGGTACTGCTCCACAATTGGGTATTTGAAGTAGCTTTCAGATATTTCCCACAAACTGGAAAAGAGAGAAAAAACCACCAAATTATACAGAGCAGATGTTGCAGCATTCACCTACCTCAAACATCAATAAAATCTAGTAATCTAAAATAAACACAAGATTGAAATCCCTCTTAAAATCATAGAATCACAGAATGGTTTGGGTTGGAAGAGTTCTTTAGAAATCATACACTTCCAACCAAGCCTCACCCCCTTGCCATAGGCAGGGACACCTTCCATTACACCGGGTTGCTTGAAGCCTCATCCAACCTGGCCTTGAGCACTTCCAGAGATGGGGCATCCACAACTTCTCTGGGCAACATGTGCCAGCCTCACCACTCTCACAGGGTTTTTCACAGGTTTCTCACAGAATTTTTTCCCTATATCTAATCTAAACCTGCCTTCTTTCCGTTTAAAGCCATTCCGCCTTATCTCGTCACTACACACCCTTCTAAAAGCTCCCTCTCCAGCATTTTTGTAGATCCCCTCTAGGTACTGGAAGGCTGCAATGTGCTGTCTCCAGATCCTTCTTTTCTCCAGGGAGAACAACCCCAGTTTCCTCAGCTTGTCTTTATAGGAGAGGTGTTCCAGCCCTCTAATCATCTTGGTGACCCTCTCTGGACCTGCTCCAACAGGTCCACATCCTCTTTTGGGGTAAATCAAGGGTAGTTTTATTCAAGTCAGTAGAAGACCAACAGAATAGCAAATAAATGAAGAATATTGTCACTCTAATACAGAAAAGTCACTTAAGAGACAAAAGAGCTCAAACATTAGAAAATTGAAAAAGAGTATAGACTTCATGGCAAAAAATATTTTTGTTCTTTTCCAATACAAAACAAGTCTAGTAAGCAAATCAATGAGGAAAATCAGACTTCCCAAGCACTTGTTCAATAATAGAACACTGGAAGGCTTCTCACTTGTTAAGATCTAACTCCACACTTTAAAGAATGGACCTAAGTCCCTAGTATAACCCCCACACGCAGAGAGAAACAGGTACCCTGATGTAGAAGGAAGCAGAAACTGCATCTGATCAGAACAGAGCACCAATTTGATCAGAGAGGGGAGAGGTTGCTTTTGGTATTTAGTTTTTATTGTTTTTTAATTTGATCAGAAGCTTTGCAGACCTAGATCTTAAAGGACCGGAGATGACAAGTAACTGGCTCACAGTGTGCAAGAACATTAAGAACTGAGGACTGCAGCATCTCTGTTTTCTTACACTGTGGTGGGTAAAACTACTTAACACCTACTACAACTAAAGAAATCAGAACATTTCAGGTAGTTAGTAATCTGAAAAGCTCATTACATACTTTCTTTGAAAAAAAAAAAGTTATAAGCTCCAGCTCCAAGTGCCCACAGTAATCATTTCAGGTATCTTCTTTTTTTTTTTAACCAAATTTAAGTATGTCAGGTCACCATTCAAACCTTTGCAATAAATTTCTAAGAGAGTACAGACATCACATCTGTTAAGAACTTGAGGAAAAGAGCAAAGAAAGCTAAGCCCCAACATCTTACCTCTGTGTCAAGTTCTCATTAACAGCTGGAACCAAGTCAGTAGGATCCCTGGGGTCTCCACTGCGAATGCTGTTAGCAGCTTTGATTGCCCTGTTATAGGCTTTGTCAAGTTCTTCCATAATAAATTTCAGGTCTGAGGAAAGGTGAGGTGCTGCAGTGAAGCGCCAGAACAAACATGGTAGATACAGCAGGATAGCGACGAGCAGAAGGATGTATGGGAAGAACTGAGGGAGAAAAAAATCCTCATTAAGCTTCACCTGTATACAAAATAAGTCAGCCAATCATTCCCTATAAGTATTAAGTTCCCTATAAGCCTACTAAATTCCCTTACATTTTATTTAAATCCTTCTAGTAAAACCCACTTGTGTGGGTTTTGGGATATGCAGGGAAGCAAAGTCTCTTTCCAGACAGCTCCAGTGACCTTGCTGCTGCTTAGAGCTACCCCCCACAAAAAGCAGACAAACAAAAAACCACAACAAACAAACACACAAACATATTCAGAACTGCACTGCTCAAGCTGACATTGAGAAACACAGCACTAACCTGGGCAACAACAAACAGCAAAGCAAAGCAGCTATCAGAGAGGCTGACTGGAAGAAGAGGATAGTGTCACACCCCCTCCCAGACATGTCATTACTGTTCATAGCAATTAGAATGCTCCAAACACCAGCAAAATCTCTCCTGCTTTCTATTAGCTGTCAGGAGGTTAATGAATAGACCCATAATAGCTCTGCATCTGCCTGCAAACACGTCTGTTTAGAGTGCATGAGGTACAATAACTGTAAAGGATGTAAGTTTGGCTGCAATATTTCAGAGTATTTCTTTTCAGGTAACTCCTAAATGGAAACCAACATACAGCACCAGAATCATCTGGTGTTAATGCAGCACTGAGAAGTCAGCCTTTACACAGTCCCCATGGCTTAGGGAAAGGGCTGAAGCAGGTGTAAAATACAACAGTTTTAAGTCTTTCCATCTTTCTTCTACTCATAAGCAAGTAGGAAGTTTTTATTATGAGATTTTAACTCTAGTTTCCTCCAGATGCTGGAAAGATGGTATTTTCTATCTACTGTGACATTAAATTCAAGGTGTACAATCATACATGAAATTACCCTTACAGAGACATGATGTGAGATCTGGTTAGACAAGCAGTTAGTTAATGAAATGTACTGCAAATTTGGCCAAACTCTAATTCATGACATTCAACTTTTGATAACAAGCACACTGAACTCAAATCTAGCATGAGTTCCAAAGGAGTTTTAAATTAGTTCCAGTGAATAAATGTGAAACAGATGTAAGGCATCTTAAGTGTTACAGCCGTGTGCACATGCACAGTCATTGAAAAAGCCAGTGGAGAATTTCAGAGGAAACTTGGACTGAAGTCATTAATCAGTGCCAGCGGAAAAGCTCCACTTACATTTGTAGGTATTTAGCAAGATGAGAATCTGAACCTAATATTACTGTGTTAACTTGTATTTGCATTAATGAAGAAAGATTAAAGTTTTGCATGCACAAAATAGGTAATTTTATGTTACTGAACATTTTATTCAGGAAAGTTACTTCTAATATAATCTACCATTAAAGCTAAATCCTGTGTTATTATTGATAGTAGGAATGCATGTGATGTGTTAGATCATAAATAAAAACTGACTTCTCCTAGCCCCAGCAGCCCATAAAAACTGTCCAGAGCTCTGCCCCCACTACCACCTCTCTTTCCTCTTTGCACACAGCAGATAACCTCAGATCATTTTCTTGTTTTCCAGGTCTAGCCTTTCCAATTGAGATGTAAAGCTCTGGCATGTCCAGCATGTTTTTATAAACATCTCATCAACTCAAGCCCAACAGCACAAGAATCTGCTCTCCTTATTTATCCCTGTGGACAATGCCACCAGGTCTCAGAGGTCTGAGTCCTGGAGGCCTTGGCCTACCCACAGCTTTATGGTTGCATGTCCAGGCTCTGTCAGTTCTCTGAATTCTGTATTATGTAGAAATTGCTGCAAAGCCTGTTTGACTACACTTACTTCTGTGTCATACACCTCTGAGCTCCCTTCCACTGGTACCAGGTAGGGAAAGAAACAATGAAGAAACATGTGACTTGGTAAGGAGCAACCAAAGCCCCTTACATTGGTTTATACCACCTGGCTTTACTACTCACTCACTTAAAATTTTACAGGCATAGGAGATTTATGAATTTCCTTTCTGATCCTCAAAAGTGGAAACGCCATTAGTGGTATCCCATTAATCCTTGAGACTTCTTTACCCCAAGTCCTACAAGACATGTAGCAAGAGGCAAGATAGTTTACACACTGAAGTCACAGCCCCAAACCTCCATTGTCCCAGTCTCCATCTCTTCCTTTATACCTTGAAAGACTGTGGGTACACTCTGCACTTGTGTAGCAAGTTGGCATCAGCCCTCTTGTTCTGCCCTAGATGTCCTCCAGTCCCCCCATCTCCCCTACCTCATTGGGTTGTTGCCTTAAGAAAACCTGCCTCTGCCATCTTCTCTTGCACATCCTCCTCTCCCCAACTCCTTCACCACTGCCTCCTCACCTAGAAGCATCACACCACTGGGGCAAAGGCACATTTGCCATGCATTTGCTGGGCTTCCCGTTGCCAGGTTCTCATCACTCCCAAAGCTGTAGCTTATGGCAGCATGAGAAAACACTATGCAGCTCTGTTCTGAATGGTCTCAAAACCAGAGCAGCAGCGTGACCATTAGTCCAGCTCTTTTTGTTTGGAAACAAAAGCCTGTATTTGTCAGCCCTTCCACAGCACTTGACGCACGACTCCATCCTTCTCGGATTCTGGCTTTTTTGAAAATGAAAGATACGCTTGTTCTATTTGTTAACAGTAGGCTTAGATAACTAGCAAATTGTTTTGAATCACTAATTAAAGCCTTGAACCAACAGGCAGAAGTGAAAATGCAAAGTTATCTGGCATGAGTCCTAGGTTTCAGAGCAACAGATTCAGATTATCCAGCTCGTCTGACTACATTTTACAGTCACACATAATGACTTGCCATTTTAAGAAGAGGACTCCATGGTATTCATGCACAGATGACCATATGCCACCCACTTTTCTTTTATGGTTTATGGTTTTAAGGTTTATTTGCTTCCAAGGCACCAAATACACAAGGAGAAAAAGCTACATCAGTCCTGGGTAGTTTGCAGGATTGAAGTTAAATGGGAAGTGCCACCAACCAAGTACTGTGTGGTCAAAGATATGACAAAGAAAGATACTGGCCTAGAAGTAAAACTCAGTTTTTCCACAGTCAAAGACTAACAATAGCACAAGTACAATAGCACAAAGCTTTAAGCTGCACAGGTCTGGATAACAGGTTTGAAAAAATTAATTTGCAGACAGTATTCAACAAAGAAGGAAGCACTGAAGTGTCTTCCCTCACCTGACATTACAATATTTCTCATTAAAATATATGAACATGGTGAAGTGTCTGCCTCCCTCTTCAGTTCCAAATTTCTGTCTGTCACTGGGAAGAGCCTAAGCAAAGGCTTATCCAAACAGGTCAGTGATGGCAATTACATGTTTCCAGAAGCAAAGGTATTAAACTCCCTCTGGATACAAACCTATTTCTGTTTGCAGCAATGGGAGACGTCTCATTGGTGTTCAGAAGAAACAGCTATAAATGACTCATCATTCTGACTGAGATCCTATCCTGTCTTCAAACCTACTAGTGAATCTCAAACCACACCATATCCCACCTGTTAAATACTTTCTGTTTTGATATAGTCGAAAAACTGTATTTCACCAGTTTCAATTAGCTCAAGCCATACTCAACAGTGGAGGCTGTGATGGCTGCATCCAGCTTATTCTGGACTTTGGTGGACAGATGGCAACTTGGTAGTCAAGGGCTGTCTAGAATGGTGACCCAGACCTCTTGCTGGTATACAGATTGACTAGAAGTCAATTATCAAACTCTATACCAGTGAGCAGCCCAGGGCCTGCTGAGCTTTCCTGAATGGCTGCAGGCTGCCTACCTTGAGTATGGATACCTCTCAAGGTTACTCCTCAAGGCTGGGAGATTCCTTGCCATAACACATTGTCAGTAAGTGATCAAAAGCATGCTAAACCTTGAAATCTTAGCTAAGTGATATAAAGGATTGACTGTGCACACACAATCCTTTAGAAATAAACTGTTGCCGAAGTCTGGGACTAAGTCTGAATCTAGCCACTAAGTCTGAACTCCCCTCTGAAGAGGAGTTTAGAACATAAGGGGGTCCTTTCTGAACCTCATGACTCAACAGGAGGATCCCCCTACAGTTCTGTCTGATTCTATCCTCCACGCACTAAATAATGAAGTGTATCCTCCCATTGAATCTTATTAAACCACTGTCTCATTTCCCATTGAACTATATTAACTCACTCTTTTACATCAACAGATTGCTGCTTCTCTCTTACGAGTAAAGTGCATGACTGCAACAGACTGAAGTAGCTCTAACACTACACTCTCAAAGAATTGTTCATAAACACATCTGCATTCAGACTTTCTTACTCTGACAGCCCTTAATCCCTCTGGGTAGGGTTTACAGGTGAAACATGAGGAGTCCTCAGTCAACTAAGAAGCTGTACAAACACTAACTAGAACAATCATGATTATAACTATACCATGAATATAATAATCTTGAGGGTTTTTCTGGTGTATTCACAGACAAGTAATTCAAAGAACAAGGTTCATGGTAAATCTTCTTTTACAAAAAGTAAGGGTTTTTGACAACTTAAGTTTCACAACAGACCCACTCTATGTATGCAATGCTTTCAGCAGGTCCCACAGCACTTGCTCTGCACTTTGAGAGAGATCTGAGCCAGATGACTGACCTCTCCTAGCTGTGCCATGTGTGAAGACCTCTTCTCTCTGCTGTCAGTCACATGAACTGTTTGCCTCCACAGTACAAACTGCCGCCTTCTGAACAACTCTCTATTCCCTTTACCTCTAGTTTGCTTACCTTTATCTTCCTCTTTGTCATTAACTAATAATAGACTAGAAAATAGAGTAATTAAAAAAATCATAGAATCATAGAATCAACCAGGTTGGAAAAGACCACCAAGATCATCACATCCAAGTCTTGATCCAACACCGCCATGGTTACAAGGCCATGGCACTAAGTGCCACATACAGTCTCATCTTAAAAACCTCCAGGGATGGTGAATCCACTACTTCCCTGGGCAGCCCATTCCAATGTCTGATTACCCTCTCTGTAAAAAATTGCTTCCTAATATCCAACCTAAACCTCCCCTGGCAGAGCCCAAGACCATGAAGATCTATCCCTAGAAGACTCTTGATCATAGGCAGCTCCATCCTAGCAATCCAGATTTCAGGGCTATAAAGAGGTCATCGCTCAGTGTTCAACTACCCCTCAACTTGCTTGGTTGCTGTCATGTCTAGTGGCTATCAAGACCCAGTAAGATGATGCTCACTGTTCTCCTGCATGAGTTTTATAAATTTTTCTGTGCACTATGGATTAAAAAGGCTTCATAGTGCAGTCTCCTCCACCACTAGACTGCCCACACACAATGGCCAAAAGCTTGTCTATATTCCAGTTAAGGATCAAGACAAGTTTTACTAAAACAAATTGTCAAGTGCAGCACTCTCCTTTGCAGACAAAGCGAACTATCTGCACAGGAACAAATACATATCTCCTCTATCCCACCTCACCACTGTCTGTCTCTATTTACTACTCATCTTTAGAAACCAGTATGTCTGTTTTGACACTTCCGACAGACACAAGAAACCTCTAAGGGAATTAAGCCTGAATGGACAATCCCAGAAGAAAACAGAGACAACAGAAGAGTGAAGCCTGATCACAACAGGTTTCATCAATGACAAACCTGAAGAGGAGTCTTGTCAGAGGACTCAACCATATAATCATTCTGACAGCCCTTTCACTGACAAAGAGGAGGAAATCTTAGCGTTAAACCAAGAATATGGGCACGACCTACCACAGTCTCTTCTTTACATTTATCTACCTGCAGGTATTTTGTTTAATGAATTGTGCATTGGAGTACACAACTCATTTTGCTTTCTCCTCAGGGTTATCCAGTATGAAGAGTTATTCCAGGATCACTGGAAATTTCAGAACTCCTGTCCTGCATGGAGAGAGGTCCTGGGCACCCTCTAGGAGCACACGGATCTCTGGAGAGTCAAGGAACCCAGAAAGTTGCAGTGTGCTCCTCCTCTCCACTCCAAAACAAGTTTCCAAACTGATAAATTCAACCATTGGGAGAGATCTCCCAGAGCAGAAAGGACAACCAGTAAAGGTACCAAGCTTTGTTAAGAAACCAAAAATCCCAGTGCAAACTTGTACTCTGAAATAGGAGGAAAATGGGAAGTTTTCAGCTTCTCTGTAATTCAACCTGGGTTTGAACCTTCAACCTTCCAGGCAATCAGATGCTTAAAACAGAAGCAGGGCAGGTTGTTATGATTTGGCTTCTTCACTAAAGAACTCTCTATACCACCCTGAGCACTGCCCTGAAAGGCAAACCTTTGACAGCACTTCTGACAGAGCACAGAGAGCACACCATAAGAAAATCCATCCATTTTAATCAGGAATTGGCACCTACAATCTCATTCTCCCAAAACTGCATAATGCCTCCTTAAGTACTTTTTATGGAGCTCTTCCAGCATGCCAATACAGTGAGATACTGAGTCAGAGTATTGGAAAGAACCTGAGATGCTCTGTAAATAAAAGCCCTGCTGTCCAGAAATCAGAGAGTTTTAAGTGTTGTCTTAAGAAGAACTGGGCCTAACGATTCTTGCTGTCCCTCTGTGTGCAACCCTGCCCTGGCACTGCAGAGTCAGGTCTCCACTGACTTGAGCATAGGAAGGCTCCCTTTTCTCATTAACATCACTGTGCTCCCCAAAAGGCTCTGCTCTGCCCATTTTTAAATTCATTATCTAGCCAAAATCTGGAGAGCAAGGAGCTTGCATGTACCTTTCAGTTGCAAGATTTGGGAGACAACCCAAGCAAGCCCAGTCTTCATGCATAAGTGATCCCATGTCATGCAGCACCTGTCAGCCCTGGATGCAAAGAACAACCAGACACCTTCAGATACCACACTGGGAACCAAAGTTCACTGTTAATAGCTGTAACCACTCCTTCCCTGTAAACTTGTAAAGCATGGAAGCTGAGGAACAACCACTAGAAGGATATTAATTAATACTGCCCTCCAAACAGCATCTGCAGCTCCCAATGCCTGAATTAGGAGGGTGGGTGGCTAATCATAGATCGAGGAGGTTAAGACGAGGTGCCCACCCTCTGCTACAGCCTCTTACTCTGCTGTTCACACATACTTCCTGCAGGCATTCTGCAGGGTATTTACAAGGAAACATCACAAACCACTAAGCTGTCACTAAGGAATTGCAACAATTCCCGGACAGCACTACTCAGCAAAATAACATGGGCTGCATCGTAACAGTATGACTGCCTAAGCTATTTGTCATGGCTGGCAAACTTAGAGCTGTCAGCAGGTGACTGTCACATAAAACTCAACATTTGCTGGGGCAAGTAACAAAAGGTCTGGGGAAGGCAGCACACAAATTTGCAGAGCCCCAGAAGCACTTCTTACTTTGGCATTGGCACTGCCTGAGCAAGCCAACGCTGCCTCTTGAGCTGAGTCAGCTCCAGGCATTGGCATGGCCCTGACTTTGTTTGTAACTCCTGCCAAAGCTCAGCTAACTGCTTTGAGCCAGCTCAGGTATCTTAGTACCCACTGCACGTTTTACCCATAAAATAAGTCTCTTTCTGTGCATTCAGTATGATGCTGATTTACCTGAAGCAGTGAAAGCCAGCTCACAGTTTGAAAGGGAACAGCCTGCAGACATGCAGAAGAGCACACTGCAGACAGGGGTTAGACTTGTTGGTACCAGTGATTAACTTCATCTCTCCCAAAATGCCTATCTGCCATAAGTCTGTCTCCATGCATAACTGGCCAAGTGTAACACAATAAAAATATAAAATGTTTTTACTACCCTGTTTTCCTAAAATAAGCTTTTGATACAAGCATTAAGGCAGTTGTTGTGTCCTGTGTTCCAGTCTTAAAATAGTTCCTGGCTAAAGCCAGGTAAAACACTCAGTTCCAGGCAACATAGCAACCCTAACATTACTCTTGTGTCAGATAACTGGTGACCCTTTATTTAAAAGCAGAAAATACCTTCTCCACTACTACCATCTTTGGAAGTAAGGGGAAAAAAAAGTTCTAAAAATAGAGAGTCAAGTCAAAGCCAAGGACTACAGCAGAGCAGAGGAGTAAGAAAAGTGAGGCAAAGGTAGATTTCTATGTTGGAATAACTTTTCTAGGAGATGGAGATCTATACATACTTTATGCAGCCACAGGGGTATGTTTTCTAAGTTGTTCTGGGATGGTTGCTTCTGCTGCACAGCTGCCCAGCAGTAGGAGTCCACGTAAGCAGCTTGTCGCCAGGAGAAAGAGCTGGGTGCAAAACAGCTTATCTGAGCACCTGGCAAAACAAAGCAAAGGTTATCACATCCTCAAAAGATAAAAAAAAAAAAAGGAGAAAAGTTTAGGAAGAAAAGTGAACACTCCAGATTTTATGGTATCCAAAGTTATTAGGTTAAGCAACTGGACAAAACACAGCAGCTCTGAGGGAAGAGGGTCACTAAGTTCCCACTGCATCCAAAGGGTATAACTCCCACAGGGACTCTCTGATGTCTCCTAAGGGTTGAGATAGAACATTAGAAGCACCTATCTTTCAGGCCTATTTCCATAAGTTTTGTGAGCAATGTGGCCTCAAAGACCTGTCTCACTTGCACTTGAGGTTGGCCAAAGGGGAACGAGCAGATACAAAGTGTGACCAGATGAGGCTGGTGTCCTGAGGCAACAGCTGCCATCACATACCATCGTGCCCAAAAGCACGTCTACTGAAACAAGACCTCAAACACCTTTCTTGCAACCTGTCAGTCCTTGCAGTAATGGAAGGGCAAGTTTGGCCCAGGGTGCTGCCACTCCTCCTGCCTCTGAGGCTGCAAATTATTTTGAGGGGTTCAAGTTATATCTGTGAAAACAAGGATTTCCTCCTGTAACTTCTGGCAGACAAACTGTAGCCTTAGATATCTCCAAAGGATGCCAGACCCCTCCTCACCAGCGCAGTGATGTGCTGTGCCCAAGGTCATGCATAACACTGTCATCCCCGTTCATTTCCAGGACCTCTCCAGCTGCTCAGAACTTCAAATTAAGATCAGAGGATTAATAGCTGCAAGAGCAGCTATTTAGCCAGCATCAGCCTTAGGGTCAAATTCTGCTCTGACCAGGTCCAGGCACCAGGTGACACTTCCTGCAGCATATCTCAACAAGGAAGAGTGGTTACTGGACATGAAATATCAGTGGTTCCTCAGATTAAGCCAGCAAAACAGGATGAGGGGGTTCAATTTTCCTTCTGAAGCTTTGACAGTGAAAGCAAATGACCCCCCCACACATTTCCAGTAGACTTTCATAAATGTTCAAATAAGAAATCATTTCATTAAATGATTACACAAAGTGGAGATGGCTCTTTCACGAGCAACTCTTCAAAGAGTTCAATTTCCAATACTTTCACAAATATCAAAAGACTAACAGGGGGAAAATACTGCTACCTTTTTTTCCCCTCAATATATCCATCAAAGTTTGCACTAATGGCATTGCTGTGTGCTTTATGGGAATTGATATTTAATATAAGATTGTATCATTTGCCATGTCTTCACTAGTTCAGAGAAAAAGAACTTCTTTTGGAAAAGGAGCCAACCACACTCACTTGTAACTTGTACAGCCTCTTTACAGTGTAGCATAGTCAAGGAGCTTTATGAATAAAAGCCTTTCCATATGAGTCACTATTATAATTCTTTCTTAAGCTGTAGTATCATAAGGGCATGGTTTGATCATCATGGTTTGACCTGTCACAAGCCTCCTTTATGGAAAACAAGTTACTGTTTATGAGAGCAGAGTTCATGTGACTTAGCAGAGTTGGAACCAAACAAACACTTGCTCTCTCCCAAAGCTTTGGGATTTCCATTAGTTGTGGAAGCTCAAGAAATAATACACTCCAGAATAAAAACAAAAAAAAAAAAAGGGGGAGAAAAAGAAAATAAAAAAGCAGGCAATTAGAGTGTCTGCTGTCAACTGGATAGGGACCGTTTATGCCCTGTTCTCATCATTTAACCAACCTCCAGCTGCTGGCTGTGCCCAGTGCAAAGCAGCAAACAAGTGACCCTTTCAAAGGGAGAGCAATGAATGGAGTGTTGCTTTGTCTTATTCATGTCTGTGTATCCACAACAAGAAACACATTCCATGTGTTCATTCTCCTTAAGGGGTGAAACACCACTGAAAGTGATGGAGTGTTTAAAAGGCAGGACTGAGGAAAATGGCAAACAGCACCCTTCTCCAAAATTAGTGATGAAAAAGGCAGCCAGCTTCCTTCTCCATAACGTCATGTGCACAACTTCATACCACAATAGCTCCAGCTGCAGCGGAGCAGTTAACATCACTATTCTAAACTCTGGTGTTTCAGCATGGAGGTTGGAAACCTTTGGCAACTTGACCCGGGAGCCAAGCAGATAGAGCTCCACATCAAGCAGAAGCTGGGGACGCTCCAGCTGTTGTACTGGTTTTTAATTAACTAGATGCAGTCTTGTTTGTAAATACTTGTTAATGTAAATTACAACTTTGCAGTAATAGTGGTAATGTTAAGACTTTAAAACAGAGAATACATTTTTGTGCATAATACACAGAACACAGTTCATTAAATGTCTCTGAACATGGTCAAAATTTTCCATCTTTTTTTCCTTCCTTCTCCCCTCCAAAGGAATAATAGCAATAGATCTATACTGATAATTAACTTAATGTTGGGCTATTCTAGAAGAAGTTAAAAAGAAAATCTGTAGTTTTCATTAGAGAAGAAATTAGGCAAAGGGCCAAATGCCTTCCACAGACACACTGTGCACAGTCATGCACACAGCTAGTTTATGGATGGCTATTAGTCCTCTACTATCAAAGGAAAAATGTCCTAGCTTGGTGACATGAAACCATTCCCATCTTTTGCTCCCACATGTAATAGATGGGGAAAGAGAAAAGCAGCAGAGAAGTTCATAATAACAACATGGATATAAAATACGCAGCAAGAAGGATGAGGAACAACAAATGACTGCATTTGTTAAGCAGTTGTCACAACAGTCTTTGGCCAATTTATCATTATACTTGGCAATCCCTGGTCCTAAATCAGCTTTGGAGAGGGAGCAACTGATTTATACTTTTGCAAACAAATGAGGATTAAAAAATTGCCACTTACTATGGTATCCTAAAGAGAGACCACCCAAAAGAGCTGCAGAAACCTAAGACAGCAACAGGTGTGCAGCCACATGTAATAAAATGTCACTTTTATAAGTGTGATAAGATTGCCACATGGAGCTGCTCACTGGCAGGAAGGATTACTTGCAGGCATGCAACCAAGTGCAGAGTACAAGCCTGAGTCACTGCAGTCAGCACGCACTGAGGACGAGCTGTCGCCCCACCCAGCTGTGGCACGTCTTCGTGGGTGCTCTGCCAACAAACCTCCAGCTATTCCCTCCATGTCTGTACTAGGACAACCCTCTTCTTCTGCAGCTGGCTCCTCTGCAGCTCCTATACAGCACTGTAAAAGCCTGCATGACTACAGGTGGAGATCCTTTGCCCTGGGATAACACCTTTGCATCCACTTTGCCTAACTTTTGCAAGTTCATTTGGAAAGGATCCTCCATCAGGTGCCTAAAAGAAAATGTCGCAGCCCCAGCTAGGACTTCTCAGAATTGATATGCAAGCAGTGGACCTACTCTGGCTCCTTTTGCCCAGTGGAGGTGGAAATTTTGCTATCAATGCTAAATGAGCAGGATACAAGACACATCTGTGATTCCCACCCTACTGCCCCATAGGTGTTTTCTGAAAAAAGGAAAACTACCTACAAAAATAAACTCTTAGAATCCCAAGGAAAAATCTCAAATCTGAAGGACAGTACCTGTTCAATATTTGACTGCTTTGCTGGGGTGCAAGGCAGGATGAGCCAAGGGCTCAGCATTCTCTGGCTGCATCCTTCACCAAAGAGAGCGCAAAATCAGCAAGCCAGACTGGTTTCCTCTCCAGTGGCTCATCATCTCTCTGCTGACTTACACATCTAATTAACAGAGTTAATTCAGCATCTGATTAACATGGATTCTTGGAAGTACTCTATTGCAGAGAGTTATTTTTCCTGAACCAGGATCAGATGGTTGTAGTTGACAGGACTAAGCCTTCAGTAAGTAATTATTTGTTTCCTGATACACTGCAAAAAAGATTTGCATAAGCTTGGAGGAAAACCTAGCCATTAATTATTGCTGTAATTTTCCAAAAGGCAAAATGAACTAGCCATGATACCCAAACATCTGATTTTATCTAGCAAGAATTATGCACTTGAGTAGCCACTAAAGAAAAACCCAAACAAGAAAATCAAGGCACGCATAGACAATGTACAGACTGCCAGGCACCATCCAAAGTTACATCCTCCACAACAACATTAAAAAATATTTTAAAATTTGACAAAGGATATCTCAATGGATGCCAAAGAAGAACGAAATTTACGTGTGGGAGTACACACATTCCTACTGGTTTGCATTGAGCAAACCAGTAGGAATGATTCTATTAGATTATAGATGCTTCTCATAGACCAAAAGTGGCAGGTTGGGTGAAACAGAATAGACACCATGTTGAAGAGAGACACAAATGGGTGCACTGGAGAAAAGAACTTGTTCCCTAAGGTTTACTTTGGCAATGGAGTAGCAGCAGAATGTAACGCTCATGTGATGCAATGCGTAAGTAGAGTGGGTTGGAGAAGCCAGCAAGCATCTTTCCCTCTCCATGGGGCTACCAGTTTTCTCTCAAAGGAGTCTCAAAATCATGCAGTGATAAAATATCTGGGTGTTTATCAAGGATTGCCTTCAGAGTGATAGGTTTTTTGATTCGTGGGGAAAAAAACCTTGTGAATTAAATTCACTCCAGTGAGACTTCAGGAAAAAGAAAAAACTTTCCCTTCATCTGAAGGAGAAACCTCTCAAGATGGTGGCAATGACCATCTTAGCTTCACTGCCAACATTGGTGATACCCCAAATCGCAAGCAACATCAGAGGCCCGCGATGCTTTTTAAATTTACTCTGGCACCAAAAGCAGCCTACCATCATTCCCATAGGAAATGTAAAGCTGGCTCTGCAGGAGCTAAACAGAAAAAATCTTACCAGCAGTTGAAGGTGGTCACCCAATGACAATTTAAATTTGATTAAAGTAAATGCTTTTACAAGTTTGTCCTGGCTCCCCAGGCAGGCCTGTGCCCGATGCTGGAACTTCTAGTCTGTCCTGAGCACTCCTTATATGCCAAAGAGCAGCACATGCTTCTGGGGTCTGCATATCTGATGACAGAAGTTCACAGCCTTTCTGGTTGCTCCAGACTGAGGCTACTCACACACTTGTTGACTCAGTTCTGTCATTAAGGTCCTGGGTTTCAGAGCATCCTGCTGAATTAAATGCAAGATGTGCAAACATCAACTATTAGCATAGAGCCTGCTTCAGCAGCACTGGGAGGTGTTTTTCAAGCTCTCAGCCACCAGCTGCCATAGTAATAGTCTTTTGCCTAATTAAAACTGAACCCAGCCTTAACCCCCGGCTCTTACAGAAGTCACAAGATAGGATTATTTCCCAAAAGCCTCCCCAACTTGTGAACATGAAGGGGAAGGGACATAGCAGAGAGGGCCAGTGAGGGGGTAGCAGGAGAGGAAAGGAGCCTAATTCAAGAGTTAAGACTGTTTTTTCTTGTGTATTTGTTGTGATTTAGTGTCTCAATTTTCTCCTTTTATACATTTTATTCTTATGACTGTTTGAGAAATATGATTAACCTGTGTCGAGAGACAGCTGGACACGCAATAAGGGTTATTGCAGATGGGCACTGCTGCCATCCTAGCACCCACAGAAGCTGTTGGGATGCGGCACCCAGAGTTCCCCACACCCTCTATTTCCTGTTGGCCAAAGCACCTTGAATCCCACAGGCAGCCAACCGCAGGGATGTGAACTAAAAAAAAACAAAGTGTGGGAAAAAATGCCCAGAAATTAGGTGGAAATTGAGCAGGGCAAGCAAGGATTGTCACCACTGGGAAAGCCCAAAGTGGTCAACGGGGACATTAACCCTGTGGTGTGTAGAGGGTAAGGCAAGGCTACACATTCCCACCTTTGAGCACCCTCCAGCAGGATAGGATGCACCAGAGACCATTAGTGGGATATGAGATGCTTTTAGTGCAGCAAATCTTCATTTTGACAGATTCATGCAGATGCTGTGGGTTGGTCCATGGCCAGGCACTTCCTAACCCAACATCCTGCCACAACTGATAAGCCAGTAGCACTACCCAAGCCTTCATGATGACTATAACCAAGTTTCTTAGATGTCTTCACTCAACATGTGATGGTTTATGTGTCCTGGAAAAGGTTTCCAAGGTGTTTTCTTATATGATAAAACAGAGATGCTAAAACACAAGGATTACTTCATCCCAGCTATGTATGAGCCATGCACAACCAACACCCAAATCAAACATAGTAAAGGCTGCTTTTTGTGGCCACCACAAAATTCTCTTCCTCTCCTCTCTCCAGTTGTCTCCCTCCCTCCTCTTATCCCTTCCCAGCCATCACCTCCCATGCAAAGCTGCAGTGAAAGCAGCCAGCACACACTGCCCACTGCACAGCAGTGCCTGAAAGTTGTTGTACACAAAAGGTCAAACAACATCATTTGGTGATAAGCACAGATGAGCAATTCCCAATTGACTTCCTATGGGAAAAGATGCAAATGTTGAGTGGACAGCTCTCACATCTGCTTTTCTTTCAGCTTCAACCCAAAACAGCCAGATACTTTTCCCAAAACTAACTTAAAAACAGATGCCAAAATTAAGCAGCTTGTTTCCATTTCTTGTCTGCTCATCTGACTACCTGCTTAGGGCTGTGGTATCCTGCTCCAAACAGTGCCTTGGGAATAAATATCTATGTTTTCAGCCAAGCTGTTTACAGTAAGAAAGCACATCTCACAATATACACACACAGAGCTCAAAAACTGGAATCTCAATCCCGACTCAGACTTATTCTTATTAAAAACATGATTTAGCTTCATTTAGATGGTTTCTGTTACAATACCTGCTCATCTGTAGTATGTTTACCCAAGAACTGCCAAATAATATAAGGAAATAACACCAAGCCATAACTTAAGGAATATAAGCATGTACAACACAACACTCACAATTCTATTGTTATTTCCATTTTCACACTTCCAGTATATATAAAATCACAAAAATTGTATAAAACAAGGCTTAGCTGCAAAGAGATAGCAGGTAAAGGATTTCAAGCAGCAAAGATTCCCACAGCAAGCAGAGAATGGCTCAATCACAGCTAAGCACTACCAGAACCAGCTTACAATGCTCACAAATCTGGGTTTCTAAAATATAGCCAAAAGTAAACTCAGGTTAGATCTCTTCCTGCCCCTGAAGGGTGCTGAAGCAGGGTATGGGCACTAACCTCAGAAGTTTCCTCAGTGCTCCCTGGCTGGGCGTAGCAGCTGGGTTTTCCATGCCCCTGGCAGAGAAATCCTCTGCAATTCAGCTGGAATCTCATTTATTTCCTGAAACTTCTATCAAAACTAAAAGTTACTTCATGGCTTCAGAAAACCTCCATGGCCTTTGTAAAGATTTTAATCACTTTTCACAATTAAGAGCAACTGGGTGGGGGAGGAAAATTACTGGTAGCTAATACCACACTGCAATGGAAAGGAAATCAGAGAGGGAAGGAAAGGTGACAGGATGAGATGCCAAGAGAATCTGAGGTGGGAAGAATACAATTATCCCAACAGAAATAGGAGCTGAGCATTCATTTTTGGAAAGGGTATTCAGTTTTTGTACCCGGAGGCAGGTGTTTCCACCAAACACTTTCACATCCACCTCTGAGTTGCTCTTTTTCAGACCTAAAAATGGACCCTGACATTTTCTCTCAGTTTAGCACTCCTGAGCTTTTTCAAAGCATGATTACATGAGGAAGTGTTTGAAAACAACTGTTGCTCTCTCATTTTATCCTTGGCTGAACACCAGAACTCACAGAACTGGGCATATCCAGACCCCAAGACCCTCTCTGTTTCCCCAAAAGCCTTACTGGAAACAGCTTTGGGATGTCTCATAAGCAGCCAGCCTGCTAAGCTGTGAGGACTGTGTGGGAAATAGGCAACAGCCATAACAGCAGCATGGCTGATATACTATCACTTTCTGTATGGAAACCACGTGGTGCAGTTTCACCCACTCCAGGGGCTGATGTATTTCTCATACTTACTTTCATATTTATTTTTCAACTAAAAGAGCTCAGTTTTTAACCCCATGTTTTCTTCTAACAGGTTCTCGGGATTATAAGCAAAATAAAGCACAAGCAAGATGTAGCACACATTTTAATTCTTGTTTTATGAATCTACTGCAGTCACAGATTCAATTTGAAGTAGTTGAATATTGAAATAATTGAAAGAGGAGAACTTAATTCATCTGAAAGAAAGGCACATTTTACTGAGCTATGCAGTTCAACTGTGTGTTCACTCCTTATTTAAGGAAAGAAAATGAAAGAAATAAAAGAAACTCTGACACACAGGCATTGTTTCAAACTGGATCTAGCACTTTTAGAGTAGAAGCAGAAAGAAGAACTAAAGGGCCCATATACAAGCTAGTATGTGGAAGTGCAAACCTTCTTTTTCATTGCTTTAAGAGGAAGAAATGTGCAGAGGAAGAAATCAGTAGCAGATTTAAAACTAAAAGCAGCCAGTCAGAGTACAGAATATGGCTGTATACATCCAGTTTCTGAACGACCAAAGGAGCCGCAGGGCTCAGATCTGGTCTTAGTATTCCCAGCCTGGTTGTCCTTTATTCTCTTGTGCAGATATTGTGGGCCACAGTGCTCTGAGTCAAACCCACACCTACTGCAACACATGTGTAGCTAGATGTGAATACAGCAGTCTGAGGTTTCTTATCTCTTTAGCAGTCTGGTATCTGATTAATGCTATGCACAGATTCACCACTAATTTGCTGCCCTATTCCAGTTTCCATTCTTCTGATATTCACTTGACTCAATCCTACAGATGGTGTAGATCACCTATACAACACTGAATGCCAATCAACAGGTACATGCAGCAAATCAAACTATTTCTGAAAGGGTGGAAGTCCTGTGATTCACACCTGTATCAAAATGGACAGTAATGCTTACTCACTTTTGAAATTTTCATTCATATAGTGCTATTTAAATGCAGAGTAATTCTTATAGAATCACAGAAAGGCTTGGGTTGGAAAGGACCTTAAAGATCATCTAGTTCCACTCCCCACACCAAGGGCTGCTGCACAAGTACTTCTGTAACTTGGGAATAGGGGTAAAAAAAAAAAAAGATAGCAAAATAATTAGGAATTTGGCCCTTTTCCTGTAAAGCACAGCTTCATTTACGGAGTCCCACAAGAAGTTGAACTGGAACAGTTGCAGAAGGGCAGCAGAGCAAGGGAAAGCTTTGGAGAGCTCTCCCACTGCCCGTCCTGCCGGTGACCAGCCTCACGGTACCGCTGTGCCCCCGCAGTGCAAACGCAGAGGTCCGACAGCCCTTCTCCGTGCCACCTGTCCCTGACAGCTGCTGAACGACCTCGAGATCTGACTGCAAAATACCCCGAGGGCCGGGACGGCAGTAGACGGGCAGTTCAGGGGGCACATCCCGGCTCGCCGCTCCCGCTCCAGGCTGAACTGCGCTCGGAAACAAAGGGCAGCGCGGCTCCACCGCTCCCCATCGCTCCCGGGAGAAGATGCGGTGGCTGGGCTGATAGGGCTCCTGCTCGGGAGATGCTGGAGCACGGCAGCTGCCAGAGAATGCCCCAGGGAGGAGGAGGGCACCGGGAAGCGCGGGGAGGGCTGGCTGGGAAGCCCAGCACACCTGGGTGAGCCGCACGGAGGCACTGCCTGCTGCCAGGATGCTCCCCGGGAAAGGCAGCTCTCCTCCCCGCGGCTCAAAGGCCCTTCGCCCTGCCCCGAGCGGGAACCCCGGAGCGCTGTCCCCCCGCCCGAGCTCCGCTCCGCCGCCCCCGCCCGCCGAGCCCTTTTGTCTGCCGCGGGCCGGGAGAGGGGCTGCCGGGGGTACCGATGGAGACCTCCTGAGCGAAGGCAAGGGAGATGAGGAGCAGCGGCAGCCCCACGGCGATGCAGGTGACGATCTTGTCCAGCGCCAGCTCCAGCCGCAGCCCCTTGTACCGCGTCTCCGGCGGCTCCTTCAGCAGGAAGTCAGAGAAGACGTACTCGGTGGCGATGTGCGCGATGGCCATGGCGGCACGGCGTGGCCAGGCTCAGCTCAGCACGGCCCTGCCTGGCCCGGCACGCCGCGGCTGTGCTGCGCTGGGCTATGCTAGGCTAGGCTGGGCTAGGGCGGGCTAGGGCTAGGCTGGGCTGGGCCGGGCTGTGCCGGGCTCCGCCCGGAGCGGCTCCGCAGCGCCCCCGCAGCCTGGACCGGTCCCGCCCGGGCATGGCGAGGCTGGGGATGCTGTGCCCGGGTTGGGCCGCGCCTCTTGGCGGGAACTGGGATCGTGCGGCCCTCCCAATTCGGAGCAGGGGATTTGGGCCATGCCGGGCGCCGTGGGGTGTCAGAATAACAGAATAGTTTGGGTTGGAAGGGACCTTAAAGATCATCTAGTTCCAATCCCCTGCCGTGAGCAGGGACACCTCCCACTAGACCAAGTTGCCCAGAGCTCAGTCCAGCCTGGCCTTGAACACTTCCAGGGATGGGACATCCACAGCTTCTCTGGGGAACCTGTGCTAGTGCCTCACCACCCTCATAGTAAAGAATTTCTTCCTAACAGCTAATCTAAACCTGTCCTTGTTCAGTTTAAAGCCATTCCCCCCTTGTCCTATCACTGCATATCCTTGTAAAACGTTGCTGTCCCTCTCTTTTATAAGCCCCATTTAAGTACTAGAAGGCCATAGTGAGGTTTCTGTGGAGTCTTCTCTTCTCTGGGCTGAACAATTCCAAATCTCTCAGCCTGTATTCTAGCAGAGGTGCTCCAGCCCTCACTCAGATCATCTTTGTAGCCTCCTCTGAATGTGCTCTAACATCTCTATGTCCTTATGTTGGGGACCCAGAGCTGGATGCAGTACTCCAGGTGGTGTCTCGTGAGAGCAGAGCAGAGGGATAGTGTCACCTGCCTTGCGTGCTGGCAACACTCTTTCGATGCAGCTCAGGATGCAGTTGACCTTCTGGGCTGTGAGTGCACACTGTTGGCTCATGTCCAGCTTTTTATCCATGAGAACTTCCAGTTAGGAGACTCACTCAATGAGCTCTTCTCCCAGTCTGTACTCATATCTGTGATTGCCTTGACCCAGGTGCAGCATTTGGATGGAGACTTCTTGTGTCACAGTTTGTGCCCATCTGCTCAGGTCCTCTCACAAGGCACCGCCAAGAAGAACCTGGCTCCACCCATGCTATGCTCCCATCAACTGTTTGCACACACTCTGAAGATCCACTGGGCCACTTTCTCCAGGCTGATGAGCCCCAGCTGTCTCAGCACACACTTCCCCACTCCAGTCAGACAGATGCTCCAAGCCCCTAACCTACCACTATGTGCTATGATGTTTTCCCCACCCAAACTGTTTGATCACCACTTCTGAGGTCACTTTTTGGGAGAGTCAGTCAGAAAATTAATAACTTTAATTTTCACCCTTGTATTTTTCCTGTTGGTTTCTGGACCTCTGCAAACCTGGAGTATCTTCAGCCCTCTCAGCCCAGGAGTCACAGAGCTGGCTGTCTGCCCCATGAAGAGCTAACTCCTGTTCTGTGCTTTCATGCAATGCTCCGCCAGCTCATTGCTTCTGCCAAAAAGGACAAACTGCTCCCTTCTCCACTCAACTGTCCCTTTACAAACCCACCATCCTATCTGTTTTCAATTTTCCTTTCTATTTTTTTCAAGCCATAATCCAAGGAAATCATACCTCATATGGAAACTCTTCTACAACACTGATTCCCTTTCTTGTTCATTCTGTGCTGATCTTGTGCTGCTGTCTGGATGTGGTTGGGGATTTAACCCACGCTACATTCAAGATGCAGGTGCCTCAGATATTTATGTAATGGTACTAAGTGGTTTTCTGGTTTGCTATGTTAATTCTTAGTGATTCCTAGTATTGAATTGCCCTTCTACCCCCTAAAAAACACTGGACATAATGCTGCCATTAAACTACTACAGATAAGATCCTATTTCTGAGATGCTTAGACAGTATGATGCACATAAGGCTAGGATTGCTTTTTTCCACAAAGTAATATTGTAAATGTATCAGTACTAAATTTTGTCTTTTTATCACTTATTTTTTCATGCTACATTTACTTAAGATTCTCCCTCAACTTGGCCACCCTTTTTCACAACAATTACAGAAAATACTGAAGAGCAAGGGTACTTGTAGCACTCCATGAGTAACTTTCAACATGAAATCTGACCACTTTTCACTGCCTTTTAACCAGTTAATTAACCTCCATGGGCTCTTCATCTCTACTCATTGTGATTTCATTTCCTTAAGAAGCTTTAACTAAAGACCTTCTCAAACATCTTATGGAAATGTAAGCAGGTTATATTCTTCCAAGTCTCTTATCTATGCACTGAGTCCTTCAAAAACCTTTCCAAGGCACAATTTTCTCTAGTAAAAAAACCAAAGTTTAAATTCTTCCATGTTCTCTTTTGTTCCCTTGGCCACTTTTCTGTTTGTTTGTTGGGTTTGGTTTTTTTTAGAATGGTTTCAGCCCAGCTCATGTTGTGGGACTGATAGAGCTGCCTATTGCTCTGGAAACTTTTCGGTTCTAGGACAGTTCCCAACGGCTACCCGAGTTCATAATCCAGATCTTTCATACTTGAGGGTCTGTAGCAATATGTGGAGAACATGCCTGCTCTAGTGACTTGATCTTTTGTTCATTTTGTTTCTTAACTCTGTTCCTACTGGTGCTTCAGACCAACAGAAATGCTGTCCTTCATCACAAGTGTTAGAGCACAGCTGGCACAGGGCTGCCTGCACCAGGCAGGCCGTGGTAAACTCAGTGCTTTAAGCTTTCTGTGATGCTTCATGATCTCTGTGGCAGGCTGTGTCACTGGTCCAGCAGTGGTGACGTCCTGGGGCCCTTCGGAGGCTTCGTTCTTGTTTCATGGCCACCATCCAGCTGAGAATTGTGCCAGGAGGTCCATACAAATAACTGGATTTTTTATTATCATTGTAATCACTTTGGCTGGCTAGTTTCTACAGTCAAAAGATATTTATAACTCTGTTTCTAGAACATCAGGTGCATTAGCTACTCAAGAAGGGAAGTACCAAATAATTTTCTTTCTTAACATTGCATGTTTAAGTGAAAGGCTTTAATTTTATATGTAAACAGAGAACAAATGTTCTGCATAGACAAACAGTCTTTTTGCACAGAACAGGAGACCCCAATTTTAATGCTTACAAAACAAGAAGATAGAAGGGTTTAGAGTATCTGGTTTTGCCAGCTCAAATGGAAGATTTTGAGAAGGATTTTGTAAGTGTTTGTTGTTATGATATAAATTCTGTTACGGCTCAGTCCTGCAGTTCTGCCTCACATGGGTGCTCTTAAATGACTGAGGAGAAAAAGAATCAAGAAATAACTGAGAAACAAACATCCAAGAAACGTCAACATGTTAGTTGACCGGATATCAGTGCAGGACACCATTAAGCTACAGCAGGAGTGAAACACAGCTAAGCTTCCTGCATTTGAATATACTTCAAAATACAGAAGCAGAAAAAATAAAATAAAATAAAAAAAACCAGCAACTTGAATTTACATTCAAAATCAAATTTGGATAGACAGTTTCACAAAGGCATTTGTTGTGGAGTTCCTCTGCAAGACCTATAGCTGGCATGAGCAGGCAAGAATGAGCACTGTCTAACTAAAAATGAGCTATAAACATTCAAGTATCACTAAACATGGCCTGATTCTGTCTGTCTCCCTCGCAGAGCACAAAGGTCAGCCTCCTGATGGCTTCTTTACAGGTAGGGAGTGAGGTGCTGCTTGGTGCAAAGAAGAGATACAGAATCAGGACCACAACAAGCAGCAATTATAAAGTCAACTAACTTTCTTGGGGGTTGCTCAGGGCTAGATTTTTAAAGAGATTAATAAAAGCTGTTAAAAGCTATCAACAGGGGCACTGCTGAACCCATCAGGTGCTAAAATACGTTGGTAGGTCCCTAAATGCCTTCAAAAATCTGTCCCACTGCAGAGTTTCCTCATTTGACAGGGAAGAAAAAGAAGGGAGAATCACTTAAATGTTGGTGAAATCGTTGAGCCAGACTTTGGGAAACTGCAGGGACTTTACTATTAACACCTGTTCCTTCAGAAGCCAACAACTTAAAACAGTCCCTGGTGGTGTTTTTTTCCCAGTGTGAGCCCCATGTTTCTGCACAGAGTGCATGAATGCCCTGCTGCTTGCTCCTTACTCCTGTGGAAATCCTGTGTAGCCAATGTGGATGCCAAGAGGTGTGCTGCTCTGCTCAGCTGCTGGATTGGATCTCAGGCAAAGCTCAACTGAACTCCGGAGAACTGGAAGTGGTGGTGGGTGGTAAGTGGCTCTCGGAGCTGAGCCCTACAGCTCATGTTCACTTTTGTGAGTGATGGCTATGGGGTAGGACTATCAGCATATGCCTTGCTCCAGTTTCATTAGCAGCATGTCACCTGGCAGTATTAGGTTAATGGTTGGACTCAGTAATCTTAGAGGTATTTTCCCACACTAATGATTTTATGATTCTACGTTGTGAAATCCACTGTGGCCCTGTGAATGATATTAAGAGCGGGCATTTACAAGGAATCTGTCAGAAGTGCACTTTTGTCATGCAGAGCCATGTAATGGATCCTGTTTCCTTGACGGGTGACGAGGCAGAAGAAGATTAATGCCGTTGACAGCAGAACAAGTCCAATGAAAAAAAAAACTGCAAGTATCAGGTTGGTTTCTCCAGGACTCAGAGTTTTGCCAAAAAAATTGCCCCCCTTGCTGTCATCATCTGTTAAAAGAGAAGTTGTTAATAAGAAAGCTACGCATGAATCTGAAGAATTTGAAACTACAATTTAAAAAATCCTTACCCTTTTCAGTGGTTCTATTTGTTGCAGTAGTTGTATTGTATGCTCCAGTTGTGAGTCCTCCTTCTGACGGAACTTTCCGCTCTGTGCAGGGAGAAGAAAAGCGTAGTTAAGTTGAAAGCCTTAATAAATAATTTTTTCTCTTTGAAAAAAAGTAATGCTGATTTTATTTAATTATTTCTACCTAGTTGATCTGAACAGAAATCATGATTAGATCAGCACAGC